AAGTTCTGTAATTTATTTATCTATCAACACAATTTAAAATAATGATGTAGTCTATAGCATGAAATCTGTAATTTTCACACAATTTGAAAGAATTTTCTTTACAAAGATCAAATCTTTCCCACTAAATTGGTCATGTGACTACGAAATAAGGGTGTCCAGGGATTCAATAGTCAAATTAATCGTTATCGGCTAAATACCACAATTAATCGTGATTAATGTTTTTGCCAATATTGCCCAACCCTACTCCTGACCCAGTGGACGGATCTACAACTGATCAAGCTGGCTGCCACGGCTTATCAACCTTARCTAACGCAAAAATGACTARAAGTCAGTCMGTTTTATGAATATTGAGCTAAACTTTGGTGTGGTAGTGGCTTGGACTCATCCTCATCACATACTCTGAGCTCCCAAGGGTCACTCAAGATCTTTGTTTTAGACGGACATTCAACAAACCCTTGTGTTAGTGTACTTTATGACATACAGCTGTGCTGTTTTTAAAGCTATAAAAAGACGACTTCAACAGCAACTCAGCAATGCAGGTTTTTCAAGTTTAAAACTGTCGTTAAAACAAAGAAACAAACAAGCAAAAGAGACAGAAAAAAACATCAGAATAGACTCTTGGAAAATATCAACTTTATGTTTGGACGAATGAGAAACGTACGTGTCGGCGAGCCAGGCGATCAATCGTTGACTCCTTGTTAAGCTGTTGGGACTCTTTAGTCTGTGAATCAGACAAAAAGTGAAATATTTCAGGAGAAGCGGTCTAAGACAGACACCACAACAAATAGATTAAATAAGCCAAAGAGTTCTGCAGAAATTCAGCAGGAAAAAAAGACAGAAGACGCAAATCTTATACCGTAGTTTTTAGTGTTATTATAACTTGTTGAGCATCAGTGAGAAAGCATTTAAGAGGAAGTGAACCGTAAAAAAGCTGCACTGTGTTTACTYGTGGAGAATCTGAGCTGAGAGGCAAAAACAAACAAATCTAACAAACTACTGTAAGTCTGAAACTTTGGCCGTGCAGCAACTCTAATGTGTGTATCTGCAGATAAAGAAACAATGTGGCTGAACAGTCAAGAGTTCTTTCTAAACTCCAATCAGGTTCTCAGATGTCTGCAGACTTCRGTTTCAAACACTGATAAAGTTCTTTTAGGCTGAGTTTTACAAATTGTTCACTGGGGTAAACACAAAATCAACCATTTACCCTTTTTTATTACAAAAACAGCTTGAGATAAAAATGCCATTGTAACATTTTTTTTAAATAATCCATGTAGAAAAATGTGTGTATTATTCAGCTCAGGGGTCATTTGCRAGACAGGAATAAGAAAGAAAAGCGTGACTTTAGCTTCTTACTAATGTACGGGCAGCACTATGACTGATGACTCAATCCTCTGAAACCAGGTGTTTTCATACWCTTCAGAGACATTTGATAATATCTGAATGCTCACTTGGTTATAATGGAAGGCATGGGGATCTCCAGAAACTGTTCCTTCAGTGGAACAAAGGGCAGGAGACCGGTGTAGAAGAGACCTAACAGCTGCAGCACTCTGGGAAGGCTGAACAGCACAGGAATATGGCAGTTCTGACAACAAATACAAACAAATAAATAAATACTGAGGTTAATTCTAACAGTTTGAAGTCACTATGAATAAGTAAAGACATGAGCCCACACTTGAACAAATTATTTTTCTAAAGTCTCTCTTAAATACAGTAGATGCTAAAACTGCAGTTTGTTCCCTACTGCATTTGACCAAAAAACTATTTAATTAAAGATTTATAATTAACTCTGGCGACTTATATATATCAATATAGACTTGAAATAGCCATGATGAATATACAATTTATATTACATAATAAATAAATAAATTAAATTTTGGAGTATTTACAGCGGGTAAAATAAGTATTGAACACGTCACCATTTTTCTCAGTAAATATATTACTAGAGGTGCTAATGA